GACAGCACCTAACACAGAAACACAAATAAAAAGACAGCACACAACCACGGACAGAAACATACAAAAGCAGAGGTACATTAGAACTATATTCTGCTGCCCAGGGAATGCATATGTATAAATCTATGCAAAGAATTACACATTGGGGTCAAGGGTTAGAGGTCATGTTGGTTAGTACCTGTTTGTCACTTCCTAAATGCCCAAAGCTGATCAGGCATGCTTTAAACTCATCAGTCCTGAGTTTACCCCTCTCCTCCCGAGAGCAAGTACCCACAACAAACAAAAACATGCACAGAATGTGAGCAGAAATTATAAAACTAGAAGTGCTATATTCATCAAATTAGTGCCATTTAACTCTGATTTTAGCACAAATTGCATCTATTTCACATCTGATTTTAGACATACTAAATACTGCAAATGATCTCTCATGTCAAGCTAAATTTGTTCCACTAAATGAATGGAAAGATAATTACCACTCTTGCACTGTGATGCCTCTGAAGAAGTGAAGGCAAGACATAACACAAAGCAAATATGAAATTAATATGTCTCAGCTGAAATAAAAGAGACTTACATATGTATGTATAATGCTCAGTCAAAGTGGAGAAGGGTTTAGTTTAGTTGGTATGGTTTAATGATGATTAGTATAGCATCCATTCAACAAGGAAACAAGCGAGTAGTTACGAGTTCATAAAGTCTGAGTACAGCACCCGATCAAAGTGGTTGAAAGAGGATCGGAATTCAATCATCTGCTCCTGGCTGATGCCTTTTGCATCACGTGTCAGAATTTGAGTCTCAATTTCATTAATAGTGCGAGCGATCGTAGTCAAAAGGAGCTCCCAGCCAACACGAATATGCTGCAGAGGAAAGAGAAATACTGTTGTAAAAATTAATTCACAATTAAGTGAGAATTCAAACATGCGTCACATACATTTCTATGTACACACCATTCAAAGGTTTAGGCATTTTTAATATTTTTGAAAGAAGTATCTTACTTTCATCAAGGCTGCATTCATTATTTTAATACATTTTCAAATGTAATTTATTTTTGTGATGCAAAGCTGATTTTTAAGCAGCTATTACTCACATGATCGTTCAGAAGTCATCCTAATATGCTGATTTGGTGCTCAAGAAACAATTCTTATTATTATCAGTGTTGAAAACATTTGTGCTGCATAATACTTTTGTGGAAATCAGATTCTTTTATGAATTAATTCAAAAGAAGAGCATTTATTTGAAATTGAAATCTTTTATAACATTATAAAATGTCTTTATTGTAACTTTTGATCAATTTAATGTGTCCTTGCTGGAAAAAAAGTTAATTGTGTGGATGTGTACCTCCATAGTGTAGTTAGTATGTTTGTTGTCAAAGATAAGTGACTCCTGGATGAGTTGGTGATCTCCCTCCAGTCTGTCTATGTTGGGTTTATAGCTGACGATCACATGCTCATACTGCTTCAGCTGGGTCATCTGATCCTCCAAAGTCCCACCCGTCGCCATAGAACAATGACCAATTTCCTGATAGATAGATAGATAGATAGATAGATTATGGACGGACGGACGGACAGATAGACAGATAGATAGATAGATAAAAATGTCTAATTTTCATCATTCATTATCATTAGCACAGGTGATGGCTGAAGTCACCCACCTCCATCCTGGCCTGTATCCAGGGTCCGATGAGGTTGGCTTGGGCAGCAAACTGGCGTCTGAGCCTTTCGTTGGCATGCTGTTGCGCTAACTCCTCCTGCAGTGCACTGTCACGCTGGGGAACCAGCTTCTTCACCTGAACACACAAACACACATCATCATCATGATCATGATTTTGTTTTGAAGATTACAGGAATTGTTTAGAATGGCTTAGAATTAGATATTAGAAGATACATTTGAGTTTTAACTTTAAGAATATTTCTGTGCAGTAATGGAACAGAATGGATGTCTGATTTTTGTGTGTTTGACCTTGTCCCACTTGATGGCAATCTCTTCTGTAGTTATGGTGCTGTAGGGGTTGGTGAGGTCTCCACGAATGCCGTAATTCTGGGAGATCTTCAGGACTTCCTGCTGTATGCCAAGGATCGCCTGCCTTTCTGCATCTGCCTCAGGAAGTGTGGCCTTAAACTGCTCGTGAGCAGCTATCAGAGTCTACACACAATGGATAACTTGTTTTTATATAAATACTACTACCATTCAAAGTCTGAGGTCAGTACAATTTTTTCAAAGGAATTAATACTTTAATTCAGCAAGGATGCATTAATCTAATCAAAATGGCAGACTTTTACATTATTACAAAATATTTCTATTTCAAATAAATGTTGTTTTTTGGAACTTTGTGGTCTTTTTCTGTATTGATAATAAGAAATGTTCAAGCACCAAATCAGCTTATTAAAATAATTTCTGAAGGATCATGTGACGCTGAATCCTGGAGTAATAGCTGATGAAAATTCAGCTTTGCCATCATAGGAATAAAAAATAAATTTTAAAACAGTTATTAAATTGTAATAATATTTTACAATATACCATTTTACTGTATTTTTATATAATAAAATAAATGCATCCTTGGTGAGCATAAGAAACTTCTTTCAAAACCTTAGAAAAAGTCAGAAAGTAATACATATGTGACAGCTGGGACTGTGGAAATCCTAGTCTGTTTCACAACATAAGAATGTAAAAATAGTTGTGTGTACCTGGACCTCTTCAATGGTGTGCACTATGAACATATCCTGTAAGTCTTCCATGGCTCCCTCCATCCAGTTATTAAAGGGTGCAGATCTCTTTGCGTATTCCAGAAACAACTGCTCCACCGTCTCCAAAAGTTTCTCAGTCCTCTGTAAAAATGTAACACTGATTCAAACCTTTTGCTTTCTTTAATACTTTGATTTATCTAAAATTTATAGTACATAAGTTGTGACACAGACAGCATACCTCCAAAGACTCTCTGCGTTTCTGAGTGAGTGTACCCAGTTGGTCCCAGAGGTCACAAATACTTTGACACTTTTGATTCACTGATGCAACATCATGATAGTCCAGCTCACTTTAGAAATATAAAAGAGAAGATAAAAGATAAAAGACTTTATACCACAATATTGCATTTGCTATTGAGTCTGTCCCCCTCTAGTGGTAAACAAATGTAGTACTCACTAACTTTACATTGGTGTGGAATATTCTAGACTTTTGTATCATTTTCTTTCCATGTAGACCATTTGATAATGTTAGTCAAGGTTTCTTGGATTAAAAAAAGTTGTAATTTCGTTTTTCATAAGCATTTTCCACTCTCTCTCTAAAGGCATACACTACACAGTTTTTGCCCCGATTTACAGTTTTGGGTAAGTTGACGCTAGTTGCCAAAAGTTAGAGCCAGTCTGCAGACTTGAGTTGACAGATTTTGTAGAAAAGCGCATAGTGTATGATGGTCACAGACTCCGATTTTTTTAGCTTCAGACTATGATTCCATCAAGTTGGTGGATATCAAACATGTTTTTAGAATTTGTCACGCGTCTCCTAGCAACAAGACACACATTTCTGCCTGAGTTGGCTGTGATTGGAACGACTTTAAAGTCTGCTAGTGTATGATCCTCAGTCATTTAGTGTATAATGGCAAGTTTTTCGTCAGTATCTATTACAAAGTCGGTAAGTGTATGATGCCCAGTATTTTAAGATCTGTTCTGTTTTTAAAAGTTGTGTAGTGTATTCCAGCCTGTTTTGATAACTCTAAAATTATTTTCTGTTTGCTTTTTGTGTCTAAATTAACATTAGTATGCTAATCATCATAAGTATGCTCCATAGTTTATAAGTAATATCACCCTGTACCTACTGAGACTACATAAAGGTCAGAATCTGTCAGTCAAATACCAAATGCATGCACACACACACACACACACTCTAACCAGGCCTGCAGGGAGATAATGAATGTTAAAATAGAAAGTCTGCGATTCAAGCACCAAAGTATGCTGTAAGCATGGTGCATGTATATGTGTGTCTAGCTATGGATAAGTAGTGTAAGAGATATGAAGCTATTAAGACCCTGTAAGGTGATGAGAAACTGAACATGACAGGTTAGTTACAAGGACAAAGAACTTGTGCACTACATCCAAACATCTGACATTGGTAAGATCATTTTCAATGTCTCTTTTGCTCAACAAAAGCATTTATTTGAAGAAAATACAATAAAAACAGTCATATTGTGAAATATTAATTTAAAATATGTTCATATTTTTTAAAATGTAGTGTATTCTTGTAATGGGAAAGCTGAATTTTCAGCAGCAATTACTCCAGTCTTCAGTGTCCAATGATTTTTTAGAAATCACTCTAATATGCTGATTTGGTGTAGTAACACTCAAGTAACACTCTTATAATTATCAATGTTGAGAACAGTTGAGCTGCTTAACAGCTTTGTGGAAACCGTGATAAATTTTTTAAAGAATTCTTTGATGAATATAAAGTAAAAAAAACAACAACATCTATTTAAAATAAATGATTTTTGTAATAATGTAAAAGTCTTTACTGTCACTTTTGATCAATTTAATGAATCCTTGCTGAATAAAAGTCTTAATTTAAAAAAATGTATATTACTGACCCCAAGCTTTTGAATGTCAATGCACATACCAAAGTATACATTAAAATGAACAGCTAAATTAAATGAAGATCAGCAAAGAAAGTCGAAGTATTTTTGAAGATGATAAATCTAAAAGATCATACTTGAGCTCCTGAGCAATAGCAGCAATCTGCTCAACTCTGTCCTGGTGGGCGGAAAGGTCACTCTCAAATGCCTCGTGTTTCCTCAGCAAAGCTCGGACTTCCATTAAAGATGCTGACTCGTAGTCCTTCCGGGTCAACATCTCCTCCTTACCTATTGCAAAACACACATAAAGCATATATTAAGCATAATTTAGTGAACTTTCTTATTCAAAGTGGCTTATAGTTCTTTTTTAATTAAGTGCAGAATGCTGGTATTTTATTGATGACACCACTTAATGTTCAGGACTCACCTGCAGCCCAGGTCTCATGGTTGGTAGCTTTCTGCCTGAATTTCTCTGCTAGATGGTCCAGTCTTTCCAGTCTCCTGATCTCCGTCAGCAGCCATTCCTCATAGCCCTTCTCTGCCTGGTCCAGCCCCTGCCACGCACTTGCTATGTCCTAAACAGACAAACACAAACCAAATCATCAACAATGAAACCATTGAGAAACTTTAAGCATGTTCGCCTTACTGTTTTATAAGTGTATGTGTTTGTGACCAATATACCTATAAATCTACATTTTTTGAGAAATAATTTGCTGAAAAATGCCCACCAAAGCTAGCTAGTTAGATGAATAAAAATAAAATAAATATAAAATGCATATTAATATAAAAACAATTAAAATAAATAAATCAATACATTAAATATGTATTGATTTATTAAATACGGTAAAATATAACAAGCATAAATAAAATAAATATTAAATAAGATTATTAAATATAAAAATAAAAAACTATAAATGTTAAATAAATCAATAAATTAAATCAATACAACATAATAAACAAATTAAATTAAAAAAATAGAAAATACATATTAAAATAAAAACTATTAAAATAAATCAATAAATAATACAAAAAATAAATCAATAAATAATACAATACATATACATACATATAGACATCTAAGTAAAGATGTGTCACATGTGTCAAGCTCTCACTGAAACCATCTTGCCCTCAGAGGGCATAAACGCAGGCCGGTTGCTAATGCGGAGTTTAGTCTGAAGAGTGTTGAAGCTGATTTCCAATTGACACTTCTCCTGCACTTTGGGAGGTTTGTGCATCCTGCGGTAATCTCGGAAATCCTCCAGCTTCCGCTGCATCTCTGACATGGTCTTCTCCGGCACACGATTCTCGAGCCAGGGAATGGTACGTCTGATCCACTCCAGCAGCTACAGAATAGAGGAAATATTTAGGTTAAATATGTGTGCAGTGTGTGGAGTGTATCTGATGTGTGTTTAACTACAATATGTCTCCTGACCTCACTAGCCAGTCTTTCATAATCCTCCATCAACTTCTCATTTTCCTGATTCACTCCCAGCACCTTACAGATCCTGTTAGCAGCGGTTTCAGCCTGAGGGAGAGAAACATAGTTAGAACTAAGGTAGAGATGAATGGAAAGATAATTGATCTGCTCAATCTAGCACACGATACCTGTTCAGCTCCAGCAAAGGCATGGTAGAAGCAGGACACATATGTCATAATTGCTCTCTCATCAGGCTTGGGGGTGTTCAGGATGTCTGCAGGGAGAGGAGATGAGTTAAGGGACATCTCCATTAAGTGAAGGTGGAAATAAGGTGTGATGGAAGAAAATATAAATACCACAAGGAAACACAAGTCATGTTCATCTGCTAAAGTGGAAAATGAGGATACGCCTTCATGGACTGAAGGGGCCGTACACTCAGCAGTTACTATATTTCTAACACTTCTAGAATGACCTTAGGGATCCGATGTACCTTTTGAGACTCTGCAAAGGTGTGATAGTAACTGGAGATATACGTCATGACTGTCCTCTCATCTGGCCTGTCACTGCTAACTAGGACTGTGGAGCAAACGCCATATTTTGTAATATTATAAAGCTAAAAACAGGCAGTTTGTTGCTTGAAATCTTTAGAATTTGCATCCAGCTTTTAGAATATTGTCTTATTGCTGCTTTATTGTAAAGAACATGGGACTAGCCTGAGCCTAGAACTTGGTTCCTCCCAAGGTTTCCAAGTCTTTCCTTGCCAAAGTTAAATGTGACATACAGACCTTATTCAGTGTAGATGCCATATTTTAGGTAATAGTGTCTTAAGGTATTATTGTCACCATAACATTTTTGTGAAAGACATATTTTCAATATTTAACTGCCTGAAAGCTCTGGATTCAGCTGGAATGTTATATGGAGTATTAGGGAACATTCTATGCTTATCGTTTACCCTCTGCATCCAGCATTTTGGGGATGTCCAGATGTTTTTCAGCAATGTCAAATGCCAAATTCAGATTACCCAGTGGATCATCCTGCAGACAGACAAAAGGAGAGAAAAGGCATACTGCTTTACCAATAAATAAAGCATAAGAAATAATACATGCCGCCAAAAATAAGTCAAAATAATTTCCATGCAAAAGTGAGTGTCAGTATTCAGGTGCCACTAGAGGAGAGAGAAAATGTTTAGCTCTGAAATTCTTAGAGAAAAAAAAAAAGGATTTCAAATGTTAAATTAGTTAAAAGTTATCTGAAAAGGAAGCACTGACATACTAAAAGACTGGTTGCCCCTTAAATGCAAAGGCTTTTCAAATTATAAAAAATAACCACACTACTGTTCAAAAGTAATAATTTTAGTTAGTAAGGATGCGTTCAGTTGATCAAAAGTAACAGTAAAAACATTTATGATACAAAAGACTATTTCAAAAAATGCTGTTCTTTAGAAATTTCTATTCATCAAAAAATCCTGAAAAAATCTATCAAGGTTTCCACAAAAATATTAACCGTTTTCAACATTGATAATAATAATGAGCACCAAATCGGCATATTACAATGATTTCTGAAGGATCATGTGAGACTGAAAACTGGAGTAATGACTGTTGAAAATTCAGCTTTGCTGTCACAAGAATAAATTACATTTGAAAGAATATTAAAATAGAAAACGGTTCAATTTTAAATTGTAACAATATTTACAAAATTACTGTTTGTACTGTATTTTTCATCAAATAAATGCAGCCTTGCTGAGCATAAAAGACTTCTTTCAAAAACATTACTAAAATAGTAATCGATTCTTCCATTCTGCATTCTAAATGCGCATGTTTATGGTTATTATAATTGCAAGTATTTGTGGATGCGTGTGTAAGCAGAGTCTGGGGATCAAGCTTTTGTTCTCTGTGTCAATAAAAAGCCGTATTGCAGGACATCAGCAGCTGCAGGGGATCCAGAGGGTCCTGGATCCTCCTGATGCTCATGTCCAAACTGGGACCACTGGGGTCCATGCTAGACACTGGATTACCCCATTCAAGCTCACCAGGAGCCGTCAGTGACAGCTGAAAGGGACAGGAATGTCTGTGTGGGGTGAGGGGTCTTTTAGTCACTCACCGTTGAACTGACTGACCCTGACAAGCTAAATAAATCCTTAATCTTCAACGGTCTGGTCCAGCCAACTAATAAAAACCATAGTACACACTCATTCACACAGACTTGGAACATGGCTGGAAAAAATGCCAAATCCTGCTCACGCCTTTATGATTCCATATTCTGGGAACGAAGAAATCAAATCTAACCTGTCACTAGAGTACTAACATGCTTCTAGCCCACTTAAAATCAACTTCGAAGGGTCCTGAGACAGAATAAGTTATAATATGGATTCTTAGAAAGTATCTTTTAGAAACTGTTCTGGTGTTCCTGAAATGTGGATCACTTTTCCAAGTTCTTATTGTAAACCCAAACGGTCCTCTGAGAAAACGTATTATGGACCAGCTTTCTCTGATTGCCTCTTGACTGCAATAATTACCGTATGAGGTCAGTAAGATAACAAATGTTTCTTGAGCACCAAATCAGCATATTAGAATAATTTCTGAAGGATCATGTGAAACTGAAGACTAGAGTAACGGCTTTTAAAAATTCAGCTTTGCTATCAGTAATAAATTAGATTTTAAATTAAAATGCCCCTATTATGTCATTTTTAAGGTTGCTAATATTGTATTATGAGTCTCCTAAAACAGGTTTACATGCATGCAAGGTCAAAAAACACGTTAGTTATCTCAAAAAATAGATTTAATTTGACTTAATTTGTAAATGATTCGTAAACGACTCGTGTGAAGCAGTTCAAAGAATCAGTCTCTCTAAACCCCTCCTTTCCGTGAGCCCTCACTGCTGTGATTGGTCAGATGGCACAGTCCTTTGTGATTGGTCCAGAGCCGTAGAGAGATTGCTCATTCCATGGCTCTGGATTGGTCTACCGCGTACAGCGCGTGTCAGAAACGAAACAACCATTGCCATGACAGAATGACAGCCCTGGAGACTTGTCAATACATAGAAAAGATGGTATCAATTGTACATTACCAATTCGAGCCAGAGTCTGATGAAACGGTTGAAGTGGCTGATCGACAAGAGACTGATTCACAAGCTGTTAACAAGTTTGTGGTAATTATAAGATGTGATAAAACAAAGTTACTCTCACAGCGTAGGATACAGCATCTTCTCGACATGATGTTAACCACACAAAAATTTTACTGTTTGTGGGCGGGCAAGTTGGCGATGTAGAACGTGGGCAGACATTATGCAAATATGTTACTTCGTGACATAGAGCCGTAACAGAATAAGATTTGAATTCCTGACGACTCGTTTAGGCGATTGCGAGCGACTCTTTTTTTTTTGATAGACAATAACTTTATTTATTGTGCACTGCCGGCTTCACAACTTTGCAGATAGTTTATGTTCACATACAGCTACATGACACACTGCATGAAAGGTAATATTCAAAAAGGCATAATAGGGGCA